TTATGAATTATTTCTTTCATGGATTGTGTTTTTGGTGTTGTATTGAAAAGTCATTGTCATACTTCAGTGGCACTTATTTTCTCCTGTTTTCTTCTATGAGTTTTATAGTTTTGTGTTCTGCACTTGGGTCTATCTGACCTATTTTGAGTTACTTTTTGGGAATGGTGAAAGGTTTGTGTCTAGATTCACTTTTTTTGGGTGTGACTGTCCAGTTGTTCCAACATCATTTGTTGAAAAAACGATCTTTTGCCATTGTATTGCCTTTATCCTATATCAAAGACCAGAAGACTCTATCTATGTGGGTCTATTTCTGGGCTCTCTATTCTGTTCTATTAATCTATTCCTCTCTTCTTTCACCTTTTGGGTTTTCCACAAAAAGTATCATGTCCTCTGCAAAGACTGAAAGTTTGACTTCTTTGCCAATTTGGCTGCCTTTTGTTTCTTTTTGTAGTCTGATTGCTGAGGCTAGGACTTCTAGTACTCTGTTGAACAACAGCGGTAAGAATGGGCATCCCTGTCATGTTCATGACCTTAGGAGAAAAGCTCTCAGTTTCTCTGCATTGAGAATGATATTCACTGTGGGCTTTTAATAGGTGGCTTTTAGGATACTGAGGTATGTTCCTTCTATCCCTACACTGTGGAGAGTTTTAATCAAGAAAGGATGGTGCATTTCGTCAAATGCTTTTTCTGCATCAGTTGAGAGGATCATGTGGTTCTTGTCCTTTCTTTTATTAATGTAATGTATCAGATTGATTCATTTGCAGATGTTGAACCACCCTTGCAGCTCAGGAATAAATCCCACTTGGTCATGGTGAATAATCCTTTTAATGTGCTTTTGGCTCCTATTGGCTAGTATTTTTCCATCCGTGTTCATCAGAGTTATTGGTCTGTAATTCTCCTTTTTGGTGGGGTCTTTGGTTTTGGGATCAAGGTAATGCTAGCCTCATAGAATGAGTTTGGAAGACTAGGTATTAATTTTTCTTTCGATGGTAGGTAGAATTCCCCTGGGAAGCCATCTGGCCCTAGACTTTTGTTTGTTGGGAGTTTTTTGATTACTGCTTTAATTTCCTCACTAGCTATGGGACAGTTCAGGTTTTTTATTCCTTCCTGTTTCAGTTTTAGTGGTTTATAAATTTCAGGAAATGCATCTATTTCTTCCAGATTGCCTAATTTGTTGGCATATAGTTGCTCATAATATGTTCTTATAGTTCATATTTCTTCCTTATTGTTTGTGATCTCTCTTCTTTCATTTGTGATTTTATGTATTTGGGTCCTTTCTCTTTTCTTTTTGATAAATCTGGCTAGGGGTTTATCAATTATCTAAGCAGAAGATCAGTAAAGAAACAAAGACTTTGAATGACACACTAGACTAGATGGACTTCACAGATATATTCAGAGCATTCTGAATACACATTCTGTATTCTGAATACATATTCTGTGAACAGAATGCACATTCTTCTCGAGGGCACATAGAACATTCTCCAGAATAGATCACATCCTGGGTCACAAATCAGGTCTCGACCAGTATAGAAGATTGGGATTATTCCCTGCATATTTCAAAACCACAATGCTTGAAACTGGGACTCAATCACAAGAGGAAATTTAGAAGGAACTCACATACTTGGAGGTTAAAGGGCATCCTATTAAAGAATGAATGGGTCAACCAGGAAATTAAAGAAGAATTAATAAATTCATGGAAGCAAATGAAAATGAAAATACAATAGTTAAGAACCTTTGGGATACAGCAAAGGCAGTTCCTAAGAGAGAAGTATATAGGAATACAGGCCTTTCTCAAGAAACAAGAAAAGTCTCAAGTACACAAGCTAACTTTACACCTAAAGGAGCTGGAAAAAGAACAGCAAATAAAGCCTAACCCCAGCAGGAAAAGAGAAATAATAAAGATTAGAGCAGAAATCAATAAAAGAGAAACCCAAAAAACAGCAGAACAGATCAACAAAATTAGGAGCTGCTTCTCTGAAAGAATTAATAAAATTAGTAAACTACTTGTCAGTCATTTAATTCTTTGTTTTCTTTCATCAGAGTTTTGTATTTTTACTTATATAGATCTTGTACATATTTTGTTAGCTTTAAACCCATGTGTTTCATTGTGAGGAAATGATATTGTGTTTTTAGTTTCAAATTTTATTTGTTCATTACTAGTATATGGGAAAATGATAGACTTTTTTTTTAAAGTAATCTCTACACCCATGTGGGGCTCTAACTCACAACCCCAGGATCAAGAGTAACATGCTCTACCAACTGAACCAGCCAGGCACCCCATAGAATGATTGACTTATATTAACTTTATATCCTGCAACTTTGCTATAATCACTTATTGTTTCCAGAATTTTTTTTGTTGTCAATTCACTTGGACTTTCTACACAGTCATGTCATTTGTAAACACAGTTTTATTTCCTCCTTCCCATTATTTATACATTTTCTTGTCTTGTCTTGTCTTGTTGCATTCCAGTATGATATTGAAAATGAGTGGTGAGAGGGGACACCCTTTCCCTGTTCCTGATCTTTGTGGGAAAGCTTCTGTGAAATTCACAAGTGCTTCTCAATTCCCCCTCCTTAGGAGGGACAGGATGGCAGAGTGGGCTGGGGTTGGGTATTTCTCTTGTCCCACATGAAAGGTTGAACAGGCTGGAATCGAGTATTTTCTTTTCCCCCAGATTGGTTAAGCTCCGATAAAACTCTAATACTTTAGGTGTTGGTAAGATAGTTTCTCTTCAGGGAAGGCCTTGTTAAGAACAGAATTCTCTGGTATGTTTCAAAATGGTTCCTTTTCTCCTCCTGCCAGAAGTGTAAGGGGATTTTTCTCTGATATTCACTGTGAAAACCTGGTCGACCTGCTGGAGGTAGAATTGACTAAAGTGTATGAACTTCCTAAGATTAGATACCCCCAGAGTTTGTAATCTCTTAGACTTGTCCACACTGAACCTGCAACAATCCATCAATTACAACTCAGATTTACCTATGCTTATACTGGTTCCTGCAGGGATTTGTGCTCTAGTAGTTGTGATTCTTTGTATTTATCTTTCCATCTCTCCAATTTGGGGGGCCAATTTGCCTTGTGATCTCATTTCTCTGATGAACCTAAAAAGAATTGTTGATTTTTCAGTTTGTTTAGCTTTCTACTTATTTTATAATGGAGTGACCACCTCCAAGCTCCTTGCATGCCAGACTAGAAATTAGAAGTCCACTCTTTCTTTTTTTTTAAAGATTTTATTTATTTATTTGACAGAGGGAGATCACAAGTAGGCAGAGAGAGAGGAGGAAGCAGGCTCCCTGCTGAGCAGAGAGCCCGACATGGGGCTTGATCCCAGGACCCTGGGATCATGACCTGAGCCGAAGGCAGAGGCTTTAACCCACTGAGCCACAAAGGTGCCCCTACTCTTTCTTTTATTACCTGTCTTATTTTCAATCAATAAGCATTTCCTGAATCATTATTATATTCCAAGCACTGTGTTAGATATCGAGTATTACACAGCTGAATAGGATAAGTCCTCATTGCTGAAGTTCACAGGCAAGTTACAAAAGGAAATATAGACAGACAAATTACAATACTATGGATAAAGGTTATGAAAAAAGTAAGCACAAGGTGCTGCAGGAGCACAAAGTCTGGGACTGAGGGTTGAATTCAGAGAAGACTTCCCTAAAAGTGTTAAATTAAAATGAATCTTGACTAATGTTAACTCAGACAAAGATAAAGTGGGAAGTGTGATAGATACCATATGCAAGGTAGATACCATTTGTACCATGTGCAAAGGAAGGACTAAGGTGGGTTTAAGCAACTGCAAGAAAAATAAAGTTGTTTGGAATACAAGAGAACATGGAGGGAGAGAATGAGCCTAAATGTCACTAGGCTTTCTACTTCTTGAAAATAAGGACCATGTTCAGCCGGAAACAGATGGCTTGCTCAAACAAGTTAATCTGGGGGAGTTAAGGGACTATTTATAAAGCCCTCTTTGAACTGAAAAGGATTTGGGGAAACCATCAGTGAAAAGTTATTACTACTCTTAAGCCTGATTATGTAAGTGAAAGGAGCAGAATGGAAAAAGGTGGTTCTATGGAGAAGCCTGCCTGCAAGGAACTCTATTTTAGGTGAGAGAACACAGACAACCCTCAGTAATCTGGTAAGGACAAATCCAGTAAATAAACACACAGATATCTGGACCTCTGATTTTCTGCCCATGACTGTAATTGGTGAAACCTAATCAGAGACTGGATGGCAAGGGAACCCATTGATATAGTCCATCATATCAGTAAGCCTCTGAACAAAGATGGGGAGTAGATCCAAAGGGACATATGAAAGATACCCAACACATCAATACACCCTCAGTACCTAATATCATACCTGGCACAGAGGAGGTATTGAATGATTGAATGAAGCTGGATAGCAAACAGAAACCTGACTTGCTGGGTTTAACTAATTCATCCTAACAAGTTAGGACCTTACCTCATAACAGTGGGGTCCAATCAGAACATTTCAAGCACAGGAGAGACACATCAGAGTTGCATTTTAGAGACAACTTTGTCAAGAATAAACTGAAGCCTTGTAGCAGAGGTGCCAGGTAAAAAGCTGTTATAGACAAGATGTTCTACGGAAGAGGAAACAAATAAAAGATGGGCTTTAGAACATTAAAGAGTTGAAGTTGTCAGGAGATGCAGGACATATTTTGATTGAGTGACTGGCAGGAAATAAATAAAGGGCACAAAAAGGGGGTTTAGGATGAAGAGTAAAGATGCCTGCATTTCTCAATGACATCTTGGGTGTGGTGGGTCTGTGAGAAACCTGGGTTTGGCACGCAGTTTGCTATAGGTGTCTGGAGCTCAAGAGACACCTGGATGGGAAAAGGGATTGAACCAGATCTGGCAAATGAGACAAAGACACTGTACACTTCCTGTTAGTTGTGTTTCCTGGGGGTGGGGGAGGGGCAGGAAAGTGTGTAAGGTCAGAGTGGGTTAGGTTCTATGGCAGTTGAGAAGAGCAGTGAGCCAGAGACTAGGATGGAAAGAAGGAAAGGACATACCATGGCCTTCCACAGTATTTATAGTTCCAGCATCCTGGGTTACCCAACATACAGGGTGAGGAAGCCTTTTGTAGGCTAGGTAGTGGTGGGGTCCTTTTGCATGAAGCAGTTTGTGTATGGCATAGGGGAAATGTCAGGGAGAAGAGGCAAAGGTCACGCCATCTTTTTTTTTTTTTTTAACTGGGAACAGGTTAAAAAGGAATATGTTTTAAAAGTTGTGGGAGGCTCTGGAACCAGAGGAGAAAAAGACCCTGAAGTGTGGGTGGGGAGGAGTTCCTGCCCAGTAGAGGACCTATGGCTTGTCTTTTCTGTTAGTGGAGATGGAGATGCTTGAGATGACATTCCTTTCATGATGTCCTCCTCCCTTTCCCATCACAGCCAATTCTCCCCTACTGCATGCACCGCTTCTCTTCTCTGTCACCATACCAGCGACAGCTTCTGGAGAAGACCCAAAGCTACATTCGCATGTTCTGTGCTGGCCTCTTGGGCTTCATCTTTGTCCTGCTGCTGTCCTTGTACTCTTTACATTGGGTGAAGTTCATGGTATTGAAAGACAAGAAGATGCTCTTTGCAGGGCTCTGGACAGTGTGTCACCATGATCTCTGCTGGAGCCATGTGCCAAAGGCACCCTGTGAGTGTCTTCCAAATCCTAGAGCCCCCTCCTTTGGTAGATTTGCTCAGATTTTCCATAGCACCCCTCTCTCCCTTTCTCCTTCCCACAACCCTGCTCTTCCTTTTCTCCTCTCATTCACAAGCATGTAAGGACAACTCCTCCAAACAGGGCAAATTCACCCAGGTTTGTTTGGACTAGACTTCCCCAATGACCTAAAAACCACAACTCCTTAATTATTGGAAGCTAATGCCTAGCGACCTTGTGCTTTTTATTACCTTTGCACTCACAACTTCCTAGGAAAAAGAAAATTAGTCATTTGCACCTTAATATGAAAGTTACCTCATAATGTGCCTCTCAAGGGTATAGTTATAATTTCAACTTGTCACTCATTGCGAAATACATTTCTTTCCTTGTTAAAGGAATTCCACATGTCAATGAGGAGATGGAAAGAGGGTCCTTACTGGTGCCTGTGAAGCCACCCACTTGGGTGGCTCCTTACTCTGACTACATTACATGTAAGACATGCCCTAATTCTTTCCTCTTCTGTCCCTCAGTCCCTTTCCTAGAACCTATCTACCCTTATTTAAGGGCAGGTCTCCTCTGCTCCAGCCAAACCTCTCCTTTTCCACCTTTTCTGGCAGACTACCTCCAATTCTCCAGGGCCTTCTTCCTCATCTCTGCCCTCATCACCCTCACTATTATTATATGGCTCAGCATCTCTCTCATCAAAGGGCCAGGAGACAAAACCTACATAGATCTGGGCATATCCATCTTCTCTTTCATCTCAGGTACACGGTGATGTTGGAAAGTCTGTCCCTGGAGTCCTTGTATTTCTTCCCGTTCTGTGCCATTTCCCCGTATTTTACAAAGTCATTTCCTCCCTCACATGAACTGCTGTCATAGGACAGTGTCTCTTCCCAAAGGGAAGAAAGCTTTCAATAAGCTTTTACTCCCCATGGGGCTATTACCTCTTAAGGAGGGGACCCTGAGGAGATTATGTTTAACCCAATGGAAACACCTCTAGGATTTGTGATCTGATGGACTAGTAGAGGGGATATCATAGGCTGGAGGCCCTTCTGGTACCCAGAAAATTACTGTGCAGCTAACTAGCTATCTGTTCTATTGGTCTTATCTACAGGCTCCACCTTGACAACCTTATTCTAGTCAAAGCAGAAGCCTTTGCTCTCCCATCTTGGTTAATTGCCAACTGGATCTTCCCATGACCACTGCCATGGGTAATAGGCCTCCAACACATAACTGAGATGGTTTGGGTGACAAGGAAGTACAAAGAGAGGGAAGAGGGTGGAATGGGTGGGAGAGCAGAAGGAAGTTATGATGGGTAGTGATAGCTTTCATTCTGATCCCAGGCACCTGCCTACTCCTCTGCCTCATCTTGTTCCTGATGCAAGTGAAATTGTACAGTAGGAACGTCTTGAAGCCCCATTTCCTATTAGTCTACCGCCTCAATTGGTGGAGCAGTATCTTCTACATGATAGCAGGTGAGTTAATGCTCCTGTAAACAGTGAAGGCACCGAGAAGACATTTCTACATGGTTGGTCCCATCTCTCTCTCTCTTTTGCTTTCTTTTGGTTTGACACATTAGAATCTCATAATTTGGAAGGGCTCTAAAAGAGTTATTTCCATGTCAATGAACAATTCTTAAGAGCAAGTCCTTCCAATTTATCTAAAGCATTTTTTTCTATGATGATACCACCTGTCCCTACACAGATAGGAGCAAGATTCAGGAAGTAGAGAAAGAAGGCATAGACATTAACAGAGTTATTCATAGTTCTTCTGTCCTTCCAGAAGACAGTTCTAAAATCCTCCTCTCTTTTTATCATATCAAATAACCTCTCCACCTTTATGAATCTCCAAAATAAAGCCTTAACATATGACATATGTTCCTCTGTCATATTACCAATATAAAGCAGAGTGGTAACATAGGAGTTTTGCCTTTATAACATTTCTCCCTTCATCCTTCTAAGCCATATACTTGTTTTTATTCATTCACTAACAGTGGTCTCCAAAGCATTGCATCACACACCCTATTAGTAAAACACTTCTCAGCAAGCATTCCAAAAGACATATGGTTATTTATAAAATATTTACATGTATGATATCATTAATATATTCATTACATTATAAAATACAATTTTAAATTTAAAAATAAAATTTAAATTTTTTTGAATTTAAACTATGTAAAAAATAAATTTTTTACAAAAATTTTAGAACCGAAAACAAAATTTGCTAAAAATACAAAAAGACATTACTATTTGTTTCCCATGCCCCAATGAATTGGCTTGTATACCCTTGGGAAATATTGTACTACAGAAAAGCTGGGATCAATGCTTTGAATCCCAGGTCCCTAAAGATAATGAAAAGGATATTCAGAAATGTATTGTAAGTCAAATTCTATTATAATTAAGCCAGTGTTTCAGGGATGTTTCATGACTTAAGATTTTATCTATTACTAATCCATAGTGCTGACCCTGACTTTTCTTTTTCTCTAGGGTTCCTCTCTGGACTCAATTATATAAGTTCCCGAGTTACCCCTCCAGATCAAAATCTCCTTGTGATCCCTATTTCAAGAACAAGGATAGGAAGTGTAGCCACAGTACAGCTGGGGCTAACTGAAACAAATGTAGGTGCTTCTACACAGATGAGTCAGGTACTAGAAAGACAGTCTGGTTCAGTGATACAATCAAAGGTCCATAGAATGGGGACTCAAACAGAGGTAGGGACCCAGACAGAGCCAGTGACAGAGACAAAGACAGTAGCCCAAAAAGTGCTAGGAACTCAGACCAAATCAGAGGTTCAGGCTGAGTCAAGGACCCAGACAGAGCCAGAGATAGGAAATGAATCAGTAATCAGAGATGCGTTGACAGAGTTCACTACTGAAATAGAATCAATAGACGCAGTAGAGCCAAGACCTGAGGTGGAGATAATTGGGAGTGCGACTGGTGATATGCTAAGCAGTAGCCTTGAGGGTAATGGAAACAGAATGACCCAAGTCAAGGATTGTGAGGACAGAGAGTCAGCTGAGAAAAATGAGGATAAGACAAAAAATTAATCTTAGATATAAGGTGGTGAGAGCAGAGATATTAAAAACAAAAAGGTTTCCTTTTAGGCTTAATGATATATTTGTTGGATCTGTAAGAAATGTGGTAGGAGTATCAGAAGTAATTCTGAGGTAACAATAGAACCCTCTGTGAAACCCCCCCTGGATTACACCTCTTTCACTGAGCAAGTTGATACTAGGGGTGAACCATACAAATCATTTGGATGATTTAGGTAAAAGCCACCAATAATTTAAGGATCATAAGGACAGCAATGCAAATCTTATTAAAGGAAGTTTCCATGTTAGTGTTGTGTGCTGTGACTGGGAGAGGCTGGCAAGAGATGACATGTCCAGGCCAACAAGACTTTCCCAATTTCCATGACCCCACGATGGAACCTCTCAGCATATTTGAAAGAGCTTCCAACTTGGAAATTCAAACTCTTTTTTGGCCCTTACTTCCCTAATTCATTAGGCTGACTTTTGGCAAACATTTAACTTTCTTGGGCCTAACATTCTTCATTAACCAGGTAGGCTCTGAGATTTCCTCTAGTGCTATCTATGGCCACGAATGATAAGCAGTGGAGAAGTTACTCCTGTTGGCTCAGACAACCCTGGATTATTTTAGCAGGTAACTCTGTGTAGTCAGAGGAACTAAATTCAGTTATCTACCTCCAAGGCTACTTTTGGCAACTCACTTCTTATTTTTTTATTTAGACATCTCATTTAAAAATACAGGTGAATCTCACTGTTTTCAATTGTTTAGAAGTAGAAAGGAAGAGAAAAAATAAAGGCAAAAGAGCCCCGACTCTCTGACAAGAGTGTACCATATAGACTGAAGGAATTTCATTGAGGCCTTAAACAGTTTTGCAGAAGGGACTGTGGCCTTTGAAACCGGAAGCTAGTTTTTTGATTGGAAATATTAAAAGTTCACCATGAGAACCCACTCTTAACTCCCTAAACAGTTCACTATTTTACTATTGCTGGCTGTCTGTGCCTCTAGCTTGTTAATCAAATTTTCTGACCCTTAATTTTGTCACCTTTAAAAGTGACTTCAATAAATGATATCATCTCCATTCCACGTATTTGACTTTCTGGAATGTTAGATAAGGAACCAGAAGAGAGAAGATGATGGTCAGGGCAGGAAGCATTAAAAGATATTCCTCCCAGCAAATATGAATTAACAGATGTCTGCCTTAAAGTACAAATTCTCTAATGGGATAGTTAAGATTTTGGTCATACTTCAATTTGTATAACCTGCATCAGTTCAGATAATTACATAACCAAATACAACTAAGCAGATGCTTTGATAAGTGAAAGAAGAAAAAGAAGAAACTTTGCAAAGTGAGGGTCTAACGGGAGGGAGAATTTTGAGATCTTTCAGTGAGGACAAAGGGGCTGACTACCTGGGAGGGCAGGCGTACTGAAAAAGTAAGAAGAAATGTGGGAGATGGATAAAGACAAATGTCACCTCCATTACAATTTGTCTCAAACAATAAAAGTATCCGAATTTGGCTGCTCTGGAAAACCATATCCTCCATTTTCTTGTATGTATACTTGTCTTCCCATGCATCATCCATCCATCAAAAAATTGTGGAAGATTTATTGAACATTAACAGGGAGTTCACTGCATAGAGGGGGATAGAGATAATAAGAATAAAAGGTAAAAAAGAGGTTGCAGGAATTCTAGTAGTACACGAAAGAGAGCTCAATTCAGTCTAGGGGCTTAATGGAAAGCTATTTGAATTGGTAAAACATGAATGAGCTCAGTCTTGAAAAAGAAAAATGATAATATAGGATTTCATCTAGGAGAAGAATCACTGAACCGAGGCTTTAGTATGAGGCTGACTTTCTCAAAGATTCTGGAAACAGAATAACATTACAGCAACACAACAACTTTAAATTATATTTCAGTAAACTTGTTCTTTCAAATTTACGTAAAAAGCAAAAACAAAATTTACTCAGCCATTTTTGCTCCTTGGACTGTAGCTTTTTGTCATAAATCCTTGGCTTTCCTTCCTCTCTTTCTTTTTGTCTCCTTTCACTTTTTGCTGCCCAACTCTTTTTTGGAGCAATATCCATTTCTTTTTTCCCCCCATTTTCTTACACAGAAATTTCACTGCTCTTCAAACCTTATACCCAATATCACCTCTGGGTTTCATGATGGAGACCCAAGGGCTCAGCGAATGTGTTTAAAACTCTAGGTTTTAGAAAGGTCCGTCCCTTGTCCCCTCATATTAGAGGAAGCGTTTATTTCATTCCCTCAGTTACAATTGCTCTTTGCAGTGTTTTGAAAAGCTGTCCTATAAATTCCCCTTCTAAGAGTAGATGAAAAGATGCAATATATTAAATTGTGATGCTTTTCCTTCTTGTTCTTCTATGGTGGGCAATTGCTAGAACTCTTCCACTCTTAGAGGAGGTATCTGTTCCACCACTCTTCTTGTCAAGACCCCCAGGCCTTCATGGGAGGCTAAGCTAGCTCCAAAGGTCTGCCTTTGCCATAGGGTCTTACGTAGAGGACGTACTCAAGCATCGTTTCAGAGTGTCAGAGGTTCCATCCCCCTCCTATACCTCGCCATGCTAACTTACTATCAGAATGAAAAAGATTCTAGTTTTATGGATGAATAAAAAAGCAGTATAATCAACACTCAAAAATTAACAGCTTATTTAAAAATTATTGCTATATCCAGTAGAAAAGGTAACAAAGTTTATAACATTAGAGAAGAAGAAAAGACATAAGAATAAACGCAAACGTGGAAGATCTCTGTGAAGAAATCTAGCACTTTCCTGTAAGAACAGAAAACCTATTTAAATAGTAATATACCACCTAATTAGTCACATTGCAGCCTCCTTCATAGCTAGCGATGATCATGTTACATATTAGTGGCCAACAAGACACCAGAGCAAGTATGCTGCGGAGTTACAGAGATTATGTATTCCTCTACAGACACTCGGGGTGCTGCTCCCAGCTTTTTCATTTCGCCTTAAATGCTGTTGTAATGGCTAGAGCTGCAGCAGTCATCTTAGAAACACAAGGCAACAAGCATGAAGTCAAGAGCCAAGCTCTGAAGACGGCATAGCAAAAATGCAGAAAAAAGCTCAAGTCCTTAATGACATTGTTGAGCAGGTGAAACAATGCCGAGAATGACCTCCTTCTGGAATTCTTGTTCTGTGAGAAAAATAAAGCTTTACTTTTAAAGACAGTGTTAATTGAGTTTGCTATTCCAGGCAGCTATATACTTTTCTAGCAAGTACAAAGTGTGACTACTACAAAATGTAAATATAAAATCAGATGGTGGAAGAGAAGGAAAATACTACTACTGATTCAATCGTTCTCCTAATAGATGTTTAGACCCATCTACAGGAAATGAGAATTAAAGGGTGTTTTTTAAAGATTTTTTATTTATTTGACAGAGATCACAAGCAGGCAGAGAGGCAGGCAGAGAGAGAGGAGGAAGCAGGCTCCCAACTAAGCAGAGATCCGATTACAGGGCTCCAATCCCAGGACCCTGAGATCATGACCTGAGCCAAAGGCAGAGGCTTTAACCCACTGAGCCACCCAGGCACCCCAGAATTAAAGGTTTATATAAAGTTATCACTATAATTGTATTCAATAGAAAAAAATGCAAACTTTCCAACTTATCAGAAGAAATATAAACACAAAGTGAAGGAAAGACAAACCACATTTTGAAGAAAATTAAAAGTCTATAGCATCTGAAAATGATATACTCAAAAACCTAATATAACTCATTAATGAATGTGAACCCTTAATATTTAACTAATAAAAGAACTATGCGTTTCAGATTGGACCACAAAACAAAATCTGACTGTTAAATACAAAATGCATCCCCCAAACAAAGGGATTCAGAGGATTTTAAAATAGGAGGATTGAACAATGAACATCTTGAAACCAAAATTCAGAAAATAATACTATTTATAGTTGCTCAAAGAAAAATGAAGTACTTAGGCATAAACCTAACAAAACAGATCTGTATGCTGAAAATTACAAGACACTGTTAAAAAGAAATCAGTCAGAATCTAAATAAATGGGGAGACATACCACATTCGTAGATTAGGAGACAACATAGTAACAATGTTCATTCTCCCCAGATTATTTGTAGATTTAAGGTAATTCCTATCAGAACCCAGGAGGGATTTTTGGTGACATAGATAAGCTTATTCTAAAATTTATATGGAAAGTCACAGGGTTTAGAAAACCTAAAACCAGTAAAAAGAAAAAGTAGGAGGAATCATTGTATTAAGGCTTGTTTATAGACTGTGTAATAAAAACAATGTAGTATTGGTGGGGGAATAGATACAGAGATCAATGAAACAGAATAGAGATCATATAAATATACCCAGCTAAAGCACAAAGACAATTCAGTGGACAAAAGATAGTCTTTTCAAGAAATGGTGCTGGAGTAATTAGACATCCCATAGCTAAAAATATGAATGTCAACCTAAACCACAGACGTTATCCAAAAAAGAACTCAAAATAGATCATGGACTTAAATGCAGAGTTCTTAGATATGATGCCAAAAGCATCAATAAAAGGGAAAAGTTGATAAATTGGATCCCAAGAAAATTGAAAACTTTGACTCTGTGAAAGACCCTATTAAGAAGAAAAACATGCAAGAGAAAAGAAAAACATGCTACAGAGGACTGGGAGAACATAGTTGCAAGCCACGTATCTGACAAAGGACCAGTATCTAGAATATAGAACTCTCAAAACTTGGGGTGCCTGGGTGGCTCAGTGGGTTAGGCCTCTGCCTTCGGCTCTGGTCATGATCTCAGGGTCCTGGGATCGAGCCCCGCATCTGTCTCTCTGCTCAGCGGGGAGCCTGCTTCCCACCCCGCCCCCCGTCTCTGCCTGCCTCTCTGCCTACCTGTGATTTCTCTCTGTCAAATAAACAAATAAAATCTTTAAAAAAAAAAACCTTTAAAACTCAGCAACTACAAAAGAATCCACACGAATGAAACAATGCAATTAACAAATGGATAAGATATATGAACAGGCATTTTACCATACAGAATATGCAGGCAGCAAATAAACACATGAAAAGATAGATATTCAGCATTGGGGCACCTGGGTGGCTCAGACAGTTAAGCGTCTACCTTCAGCTCAGGTCATGATCGAAGGGTCCTAGGATCCAGCCCCTCATCAGGCTCTCTGCTCAATGGGGAGCCCGCTTCTCCCTCTCCCACACCCCCTCTTTATGTTCCCTCTCTGACTGTATCTCTCTCTCTCAAATAAATAAGATCTTTAAAAAAGAAAGATATTTAGCATCATTAGACATTAGAAAAAAGTTAAAAGCCACAGTAATATGTCACTGCACACATGTGTAAATATAAAATCAGATG